AATGTTCAGTCTTCCTATCCATGAGCATGGGATGTTTTTCCATTTATTTAGGTCTTTTATGGTTTATTGAAGTAGCTTTTTATAGTTTTCTTTGTAGAGGTCTTTTGTGTCTCTGTCACCAGTACCTCTTGTTGTTCATGAGTAAACACCTGGAGTAGTATAAACAGACTCATCTAAAATAACCAAAAAAGTGCTTTTTTCCCCATGCTATTCCTTTTGTGACCATTTTTGTTTTCTTAACATTTTTAACTAGTTACTGTTTGGTAGCAAACAATATTTGTATTGAGTCTAAAATACATTATTTTTCTACTGGACTTTCTCCTTCTAACTGTTGCAATCATTATCATACAATGTGTTTAATGGCTAATGCATTGTATTTTTCATTGCCATAGCCAACCTTCAAAGCATATGACCATGCACCAAAATTATGTATCTAAAATAGACTGATTTTTCTAAGGATAAGACTTCGTTCAGAAGTCAAACTTTTTCAGAGTGCTCGGTTATTCATCTAATGTGGCTCTGTTCACTCCATTTACCCAATTAGATTTTATCAACCCTAGAGTTAAATCCACAGTTATGGCAAGGTGAAGTAGGAGAAGACACAGCTGCTAAAAAGCCAAAAGTGCATCCTGCTACCAGAAGACAGCATCCAAGGTCTTAAAAGCTGCCGGAAGAGTGACCCAGCTACAACTAAGCTCCCACATCTGGAGTTCTAAGACAAGCATAGACAAGCCTGCGTGTCCAGCGAAGAGCAGCAACTTAAAGCTCACTCAAAATTGCCAGCTCAGAAAACTCCCAAGACCTTGCAGAAGATGAGTACTTCTTTTGTGAGTGATCTATTGCCCCCTATTTGTGGCTTGATCAAAAAGGGGAAATGTGGATGCAAATCTTTAAAAACTAAGATACTAACATCTCTGCATTGGGTGACTTCAGATCTAAATTAAACTTCATTTTGAAAGTCTTTTGTCAAAGTTGCATCACTTAAAAACCAAGAAAGCAGAAGTCTGGATTTCTAACCTAGACACTTCTTCAGTGCCTGCCAATGGTTTCATCTGGCCCCAGAGAAGACACCTTGTTCAGAAGGAGGTTGAGAAGTAGAACTGATAATGTTAAATGAAGTTGGAACTTGTAAATAACTTTGTAGCTAAATAGATACATATCAAGTCTTAGTCACAAATGACTTTCTTATTCACTAGGATTTCCCACTGTATGTCTACTAAACCAAAACCCACAGCCAACAAGTTGATTCTGACTTATAGCAACCCCCATTGGGTTTCAAAGCTTGTAAATCTTTACCTGGTTAGCAGCCAAATGTCTCACCCAATACACCACCAGAGCTCTTTAGTCTTCTGTAAATCTGCAACTAAAGTAAGGAAACAGACATCAGGTATGACACAACCTCTGAATGGTTGCTTTGTTAAACCACTCAGAATGTACCAACTCCCAGGTTGTAAACAACTTCAGGATGCAATAGATAAATTTGCTAATGTTGAAGTTTGTAGGTTTTATCATGCTTTCTACCCCACATCTACCTGCCTATGAGCACAAATCCTTTTTAATCTCTTACTGTTTTCCCTGCAATTCAGAGCATGGTAACATCTGACATTTTAATTAAAAAAAAAAAAAAACCTCACTGCCTTCAAGTCAGTTTCTGAGGTGGTATCACTACTGAAGTAGATTCTCCAACCTTCTTCTGAAGAGTGGCTGGTGGGTTTGAACCACCAGCCTTCTGGTTAGCAGTCAAATGCCTTAGGTGGTACACCACCAGAGCTCTGAACATCTAACACAATTATCTGTAAATGTCTCCTCATTTCAGAATGATTTTATTACTTCAATAAATTTTTAACTTTTAATTTCTAGCTTAGTGTCAGTCTAATGTTTTCCACTAAGACAGCTCTTTTGGCATTTTTCAATTCCTTTTCTTCTTCTCCCCAATTTCATTTTTCTTCCTACCTCTGTTCCTTGGTTTGTTTTATTTTTCTTTTCCCATATTCTGAAGTGTATCCAGCAGAAACACTGAATTGATTTAATTCTTTTTAAGTCATCTTGGTATGCAATTACATAGTGTTAAAGGGAGATGCTGAGGACCAGAGAGTTTGACAGATTCCTCTTAGTGCTCAGGAATATTCACAAAAGTCACTGACAGCTGTGGAATGTGCTCTCCACCCCACCCCACCCCCCAAAAAAAGAAAAAGAAATAATTTGGAGAAACAGTGACCATTAAGTCACACAGATTCCTCTGTGACAAAGATACTGTTAACCAAAAACTATTCAGAGTTTATCTTGCAAATAATTTAACTTTCGGTAATTCCCTTTCTTCCTGAGTGATAATTGTAAAACTTGCATTTACTGAGTAGTTGGGGTGCCTTTATTATTTGAAAACCTCTGGACTAGACAAGAGGGTTTGTGAATGAATGGCAGGGGGTAGTCAAGCCACAGAGATCACCTAGTAACTTGAGCTGATCTCAGAAAGGAGGTTAAGATTAGCCAGTGGTTAATTTCTAATCATTTTCTTTTTCCTTCCTTAAAAACTCATAGCAACTGGCCCAAAATGAGTCTTTATTTTCTGAACAGAAAAGTCTTCCTGTAAGCATTCAGATTAGCTGCTCAGATAAAACATATGCCCTTCAATTCTTTTTGTGCTTTGATTATTTTGACAATACATTTATCATTGGGTTTCTGAGGCAATATCACTACAGAAGTAGATTGTCCAATCTTCCTTCCCAGGAGTGGCTGGTGGGTTTGAACCGCCAGCCTTCTGGTTAGCAGTCAAATGCCTTAGTCATTACACCACCAGAGCTCCTATTATTGGAATGTTGTTGTTGTTATGTGCCATGGAATAGGGACGGTAAAAAGAGTGTTAAAATAAAGAGTAAAAACAGGGAGATAACATATTACATTGATTTACTAGAGTAAAGAATCAGAAAGGACTCACACAAGGGATGTTGATTGGTTAAGTAGACAAGGCAAAAGACCAAACAATTGAAGGACTACTGTCATGATTATATTGCATTGTTTTACCATTCATCTTAGCCTCCAAAAAAACTTTTTCAATGTCATGGTCATGTGTGTATGTGTGTGTGTGTGTGTGATCTTTTCTTTCTTCTGTCATTTTCCATGCAATCACAGTCAGGTCTTTGAGGTGATGGTGTTAAAATGGTCATTGGTCAAATTGAGTGTAAATAACATGGCATTTCAACTTCTAGATCTTGAGGAGAAAGGAATGCTCTTTTTTATACACATGCTCATTATCATGAATATAACTAAACCAGAATTTTTAATTTTTATGATACTCATTTTATTTTAAATTTCAGCAAGTTTGTGGAAAACATTCATTTTCTCAGTGTATGGAAACTAATAACTTCTGCTTGAGTTTCGTGTTACATTAATCATTTCAAAAAGCGTCCTTTTAGTATATATCATCAATAACAACTGTTAGTGTTTTGACTTGTTAACTTTACCTTTAACCATTGGTACTTTGAGATAAATTTTTTCTTTTAATATTTTTACCAGAACAGAAGCATATCTGGAGTCAGCAATGCAAAATCATACATCAGTGACACTGTTTATCCTAGTAGGATTGACAGAGGACCCACAAATGAAAATTGTGCTATTTATCTTCCTCCTCCTAACCTATTTGCTAAGTATCTCTGGCAATCTGATTATCATCACTCTCACCTTGCTGGACTCTCATCTCAAGACACCTATGTATTTCTTTCTTCGAAACTTTTCCTTGCTAGAAATATCTTACACGACAGCCTGTATCCCCAAATTGCTTGTTACCATGGCAACTGGAGACAAAACCATTTCATATAACTGCTGTGCAGCTCAGTTATTTTTTGCCTTCCTTCTTGGTGCAGCTGAATTTTATCTCCTGGCCGTCATGTCCTATGATCGTTATGTTGCTATCTGTAAGCCTCTGCATTACACAACCATCATGAACAGCAATATCTGTATCCAGCTGGTTCTTGGCTCTTGGACAGCTAGTTTCCTCATGATTTTTCCAGGACTCATTTTGGGGTTAGACCTGGATTTCTGTGACTCCAATATCATTGATCATTTCTACTGTGACATAGTTCCTATTCTGCAAATCTCCTGCACAGACACACATTTGCTGGAAATGATGAGTTTCATATTGGCTTTGGTGACTCTCCTGGTCACTTTGGTATTAGTGATTTTATCATACACATACATTGCCCTGACAATTATAAAAATCCCTTCTGCCAACCAGAGAAAAAAGGCTTTTTCCACTTGTTCTTCCCACATGATTGTCATCTCCCTCTCATATGGCAGCTGCATCTTCATGTACATTAAACCCTCAGCCAAGGAGAGAATATCTTTAATGAAGGGAGTTTCAGTGGTCAATACCTCTGTTGCTCCACTTCTGAACCCTTTCATTTACACTTTAAGGAACCAGCAGGTAAAACATTCATTTAAGAACTTGCTACAAAGGATTCTGTCTTTATCTAAGAAGTAGAATCATAATGAAGTATCCAAGAATAATGAATTAGAGAAATATACAGCTAAAGTGTATGGATTGGGAGCCAATTTTCCTATTGTTGTTGTTGTTGTTGTTATATGCCGTTGAGTCAGGCCCGACTCATAGCGACCCCTCTTTGGGTTTCCAAGGCAGTATCATTATGGAAGTAGATTGCATCATCTTCCTTCCGATTACATTATCTAATATATAATCATATTTGTCCTTTAACTTCTATTTGAAACATCATGACCTTACATAGCTGTCTTCTCAACAACAATTTCTCTTTCAAATCGCAAAACCTTATTTTCTGTTCCATTACAAGTATATTAAAATCCAACTCTTTTCTTTCAATGAAATGTAGCTAATGTTTAAAATGTTATTTTAATCTACTTAATGTATTAGTTCAATGACACTTGAGTATTATGTGCAGTATATTTATTTCTTATTACCATATTCGACTTTCTGTGAAATCTTAGTACACATAGAAAGAACCAGGACTTCTTTAAAAAAAAATGTTTGATTCCATAACAGTATACTTGGAATATGTTATCATGGCTAAAATAAGAAAATTACCAAAGATTATTGGAATCATGTTAAAGGAGACAGGAATCAACTCGAGGGATTTTCACTTACCAATGATTAAAAATTTAAAAATGAGGTTCATTTTCATTCTAAAACCACATATTTTCACCTTTGGACTTTGGTGAACAATAATAATTATTATTAAAAGTGATAAATAAAAGTTACAAAACAGACAGTATTTCTGAGTGACTAATTGATGAAAGAAAATTCTTTAAGAAAGTTGTTGTTGTTGTTATGTGCCATCGAGTCGGACCCGACTCACAGCGACCCCTCCTTGGGTTTCTGAGGCGGTATCACTATGGAAGTAGGTTGCTCAACCTTCCTTTCAAGGAGTGACTGGTAGGTTTGAATCGCCAGCCTTCTGGTTAGCAGTCAATGTTGTAGGCACTACGCCACCAGAGCTCCTATATTAAAGAAGTATCATAATTAATTAACAAATGCAGGAGAAAATATAGAATAAAAATATTGAAATGTTATATTCCTTAATAAAATAAGGGAAATAGAAAACAATTACTTATTGTTGCCATTCCATGAAAAATTCACAATAAATTTTAGGATGGATAATCCAAGTTAATACCTAAAATACCAATCATTTTTAACATCATACAAAGGATTGAATCCAGATATCATATGCTACCGATACACTGCAAAACAAAGCAAACAACAACATCTGTGAAGTGTTCTTGCCACCCCTCAAGGAACATGAAGCTAATTAAATGCTTATATCTACTGAAAATATATGTGGACATGCTAAATAAGGATTCAAACTATCCAATCCAGAATGGGAGAAATTTCATGTTAAAATAATCTGAGTACTTTGACACACAAAAAGCATAGGGAAAAAATGGGGAAGTGTTAAGCGGTACTATTCTATATTTTTTAGAAATATTTTAAGAGATATATTTATCAAGTGATACATATAGACCTTGGACTATTACTAATTTGAACAAACTACAAAGCAGCATTTTTAAATGATTGTATAATACTAAAACGTGTAAAATATGATAATGTTCTAGGAGCTATGTTTTTACATTCCTTATCTTTTAGAGTTCATCTTTTGCTTTGGTAGTTGATACATAAATTTGAAAAATAGGAGTATTAACTGGTCTTTCTTGTAGGTGTATGGATATTTTCTTATCACTGACAGGAAAGTACTTGAGGATAGATCATGAAATGTTCTTTTTAACAATAAATGCCATGCCATTCCTCTTCCAGGCCCACAACAACACACAAGCCACCACAACATAACAAAGTGACAGAAAAGAGCTACCTGGCCAACCAACTAGAAGAAATCCTGTTTCTGCCCATTTATTTGTGCTCTATATTTGTGCCCATGCCAAAGAAAGAGATCCAACAGAGTGCAGAAGTTATCAAACAATATCATTTATATCACATGCAAGTAAAATTTTGCAGAAGATAATTCAAAAATAGCTGTAGCAGTATGTTGACAGGGAACTTCTAGAAATCCAAGCTGGATTCAGAAGAAAATGTGGAACAAGGGATATCATTGCTGATGTCAGAGAGATATTGGCTGAAAACAAAGAATATCAGAAACATATTTACCTGTGTTTTATTGACTATGCAAAAGTATTTGACTGTGTGGATCATAACCAATTATGGATAACATTACCAGGAATGGGATTTCCAGAACACTTAATTGTACTTATGAGGAACCTGTACATAGACCAAGAGGCTACCATTTGGACAGAACAAGGGGATATTTTATAGTTTTAAATCAGAAGGGTGTGCATCAGGGTTTTGTCTTTTCAACATACTTTTTCAATCTGTATGTTGAGCAAATGATCCAAGAATGGAGATTATATGTAAAAGATGACAGCATCAGGATTGGAGGAAGACTCATGAACAGTATCTGCTATATGCAGATGACACAAACTTGCTCGCTGAAAATGAAGATAACTTGAAGCGCTTACTGATGAAGATCAAAGACTATATCCTTCAGTATGGATTATACCTAAACATAAAGAAAACAAAATTCCTCACAACTGGACCAATAAGCAACATCATGACAAATGGAGAAAAGATTGACACTGGCAAAGATTTCATTTTACTACAATCAATAACTATGGAAGCAGCAATTAAAAAATCAGCCATCATAGTGTACTGGGAAAATCTGCTGCAAAAGACCTCTTTAAAATCTTAAGGAACAAAGATATCTCTTTGAAGACTAAGGTGCACTTCACCCAAGCCATGGTATTTTCAGTTGCCTCATATGCATATGAAAGCGGGACAGTGAATAAAGAAGACTGAATTGTGGTGTTGATGAATAATACTGAAAATACCGTGGACTCTCAGAAGAACAAACAAATCTGTCCTGGAAGAAGTCAGCCAGATGGTCCTTAGAAGTGAGAATGGCCAGACTTCATCCCACCTGCTTTGATCATGTTATCCAAAGGGACCAGTTCCTGGAGAAGGATATCATGCTTGGTGAAGCTGAGGGTCAGTGAAGAAGGGGAAGACCCTCAATGAGATGGATTGACACGGTGGCTGCAGCGATGGGTTCAAGCGTGGCAGGGATTGTGAGGATGGCACAGGAGGAGGCAGTGTTTTGTTCTGTTGTGCATGGGGTTGCTCTGAGTTGGAAGTAGCTCATTGTCACCTAAAAACACCAGCAGCATTTATTAGGACTAAATAATGAAGTATTTATTGAAATGAGATCATTTCTGTTTTTTTAAACTGTGCTCCAAAAATATGGGGGAATTATACACTAAATAATAATGGCATATTATTTGTAATAGTCAAAAATGAAATGATGAGTTCATGAGTATTCATTATACAATCTCTCTGTGGTATATTTTTGTAATTTTTCATAACATCCATTCAATAGTAAAAACTAGCTAAGGAAAAAAATAGAAGGTGAATGACAGCATTATTATTCCCATTTACAATACTTATTCCTCTCTCCTAATCTTCATTTGCATATCTGATTAAATTATACATGCCCCAGACTGACTCAAACTGTATCCACTGCAAGATTAACTTGAGCCAAAACTCAATTGATTGCCTAAATTCCATAAGCCCTAGCTCTGACTGGTAGACCACAGTGATATTTTGAGTTTCCAAGGATTAGGGTTAAGTCAGAACCAGTGTCCAGTTATCCCTGAAAAGTCTGATTATTTTCCCTTTCCCAATGCATATTCACCCTGCTAAATAGTTTGAGGTCCCTTTAGGGAGGGTTAGTGAGAAGATTAACAGTAAAACTTTATGCAGTGTAACAGCATCATTGCTTAAGAAGACCTGGACTCCACTATCCTTCTGTCAAAGGCTCTAGGTCTGTGAACGAACTCAAGCAGGGAAATAAATCGAGAAGCCATGACTCTTGGTGATTCAAAGTTCTTTATTTCACTATACCTAGTATGTTTCTGCACATATGTATTAAAACAGATTTTAGTAAACAGCTATCTGCTTTAGTAGTAGGAATACCATGATGAAGCAGACAATGCCAGACATCTCAGCTATTATGATTACTACTTTGGCCTTACTGCCCATTACAGTTATAGCCACCCAGTCTTGGCAATTCTGTGTTATCACTTATCCCCTGCCATCTCAGCTCCCATGCTCTCCATTGCATTTAGGGATCCCAGTTCAGTTGTAATAATTTACACTATAATTTCTGGCCTACAGAAAATAGAAAGCACATAGCTCTTCAAGAATGCTAGGGCTCCCTACAAAAATATATCACTGTTGTTAAAAAGTGTGCCTCCTGCACTATCTTGGGGTGGGCAAGCAGGTTTTATGTGCTATAGCCACTCTAGCATTTCACCCTTGCTCAGTCTTTAAATATCTCATCTGTGGTACACCAGAGAAGTTCAGGCCTTTCAGCTTCTTTTAGGTATCTGATCTTTAGAACTATGTTTTAGTCAACTGATCAAGAAAGCTGTTAGAGCTATTCCTAGCTAATCACATTGAAACACCTTATTCTAATTCTTTTCTTAGTGACCCATATCAGTAAATTCTGTCTGAATCTTCTTTATAATCTACCTTGACCTTACATTCCTAAAATCCATTCCCAAACACAGAACTAAATTTTCTGTTGACATATGGTATAATTCTTTTGTATACTATCTCCTCATAGGTCATACTTTGCAACACACACTTTAGAGCTTTCCAGGACTTGATTCTGATTATAATTTTAGAAGCAAAGAGAGGTAGATTCTTATGGGAGTAGGTCTTAAAGATAATCAACAAGGCTCACAAGGCAGCTACCTCACACTCTTCAGGCAAGAGAAGACTAACCTTCTCAGGCACAAGTGGCAAAAAATGCGTGATGGAATTTAGGGGTTTGAGGTCAATAGCTATAACAGAATATGTTCAAATTCCCCATCTCGATGTTCAAGATCCCATTACTTTCAAATCAATGCCCCAACTTTAATCAAAGAAATCTTGAAAGTCTAGGA